TTTCGGGAGCTACCTCCACCAAATAAGCTCTAACGCAAGCCTGGGACAACAGGGACTAAACTGAAGGCGATATTTCCACGAGGTTGAGAACCTACCCCCGAATGCCGGTAATGATCCACACTACAGGGACCAGGAATTCAAGGTGGATTGAACTTGAACTTTGTAGAGACACAAATATAATAAATCTCCTTGACTCTTCAGTCAGTCTGCTCCTGGTTTGACGGTGACTATATCGAGTCCTTGTTTTGAGTGCTGACTCTAGGTCGTTTGTTTCTTGTACGGGGCGTTTGTTTTTTTTGCCTTGAGTTTCGATTTCTCATGCTTGGGGCCTTACCTTTCGGTTGGTGTGAAGTAGGGTTTCGTATTGGGAGGGGGGAGAACTAGAAAGGACAAAGACAGCTTAGAAACATGCGGGCTGGGTGGGTAGGTGGGGTAACTGTCCTAAAAAGGACAGTTAGCATTGCTGCGGGAAGGTTGGCGTATGGGGCATGGGTGGGGCTGGTGAGGTTCGGATGTCTGGCTGGTCACGTGGATGCAGTCGTCTCTGTTCTTATAGAGAAATCAAACAGCGGCGGGCTCAAACATCCTGAATTACACTACAGCAGTGGAAACCAGCCACAGTCAACCCATCCTAACACCTGACAAGGACTCCCAGACAGTCGACTCATACCGCCCAATATCGCTAGGAAAGATAATGGAGACCGTAGTAAACAACAGATAATCCTTTCGTGGGAGGGGGGGGGGGGGGATGCGGTCTCTACAGCACCTCAAAGTCCGGCTTTAGATCGGAAAGGTCAATGATGAACCAAATAATAAGACTGGAAGAGGGTTCAGGACCCGTAAGAAAACTCTCGCTGTCTTCTTGGACCTAGCTCATGCCTATGACAAGTGCTGGCGAATAGAAGCGATAGTGAAACTCCACAAAGTGGGTATGGCAGCTCGAACCCTCCAATATGTTCGAAACTTCCTGCAAGACAAAACGTTCGCAGTAGCGGTGAGGAATGAAGTATCCAGACCCCTTGTCCAGGAGAACGGCACTCCTCAAGGTTTGGTTATCTCCCCTATCATCTTCAATATACTGATTAACGATATGATAAACGAGATTAGCAACCCTGAGGTGGAACTCTCGCAGTTTGTTGACGACTGCGCCCTGGGGTGCAGCGACACTGAAGTAAGCACCGCCTGCAACAGACTTCAAAAAGAACTAAACGGCATGGCAGAATGGATGGTAAAATGGGAGTTCAAAATCAACGTAAATAACTCCGCGCTGTTAGTTTTCAACAATAAATATGTCAGAAACCCTGTTGATAGTGACTGCCGACTGACCATTTATAAACGCCCACTCGCGAGGAAAACCCACACTAGGTTCCTAGGTATGACTCTCGAACAGCAGCTGAGCTGGGGAAAAAAACATGTTGAGGCCACAGTAGGCCGATGCAAACAATACTGCAACATGCTTAGAATCATAAAAAGATCCCGATAGGAAGCCCACATCAAAAGTGCTTTTCTACAAAGCCTTCATAGAGGGAACCTGGACTACGGCTCCATAGTCTACAGAGCTGCCAGAATTAACAGTCTGCAAAACCTAGACAGCATCCAGTGCCAAGCACTGTAAATAATCCTAGGCATAGGCAGATCTACCAGCAGAAAGCTTTGGATGTCACCCTAGGTGCCCCCCCCCCCCACCCCTCTCGTTGAAGCTTATAAGGAAACAAGTGGTCTACAAGTATTGGATGAGCACAAGTCTCCTCCCATATCACCCAGCTACCAAAGCCATGCAGTCTAAACAGTACCCGTGGAAGGACAAAACAAAGCCATGCAGTCTAAACAGTACCCGTGGAAGGACAAAACAAAGCCATGCAGTCTAATCAGTACCCGTGGAGGACAAACAAAGCCATGCAGTCTAACAGTACCCGTGGGAGGACAAAACAAAGCCATGCAGTCTAATCAGTACCCGTGGGAGGACAAAACAAAGCCATGCATCAGTACCCGTGGGAGGACAAAACAAAGCCATGCAGTCTAATCAGTACCCGTGGGAGGACAAAACAAAGCCATGCAGTCTAAACAGTACCCGTGGGAGGACAAAACAAAGCCATGCAGTCTAAAGAGTACCCGTGGGAGGACAAAACAAAGCCATGCAGTCTAATCAGTACCCGTGGGAGGACAAAACAAAGCCATGCAGTCTAATCAGGAAAAAACAAAGCCATGCAGTCTAAACAGTACCCGTGGAAGGACAAAACAAAGCCATGCAGTCTAAAAAGTACCCGTGGGAGAACAAAACAAAGCCATGCAGTCTAATCAGTGCCCGTGGGAGGACAAAACAAAGCCATGCAGTCTAAACAGTACCCGTGGAAGGACAAAACAAAGCCATGCAGTCTAAACAGTACCCGTGGAAGGGCAAAACAAAGCCATGCAGTCTAATCAGTACCCGTGGGAGGACAAAACAAAGCCATGCAGTCTAAACAGTACCCGTGGGAGGACAAAACAACGCCATGCAGTCTAATCAGTACCCGTGTGAGGACAAAACAAAGCCATGCAGTCTAAACAGTACCCGTGGAAGGACAAAACAAAGCCATGCAGTCTAAAAAGTACCCGTTGAAGGACAAAACAAAGCCATGCAGTCTAATCAGTACCCGTGGGAGGACAAAACAAAGCCATGCAGTCTAAACAGTACCCGTGGGAGGACAAAACAAAGCCATGCAGTATAATCAGTACCCGTGGGAGAACAAAACAAAGCCATGCAGTCTAATCAGTGCCCGTGGGAGGACAAAACAAAGCCATGCAGTCTAAACAGTACCCGTGGGAGGACAAAACAAAGCCATGCAGTCTAAACAGTACCCGTGGGAGGACAAAACAAAGCCATGCAGTCTAAACAGTACCCGTGGGAGGACAAAACAAAGCCACTGCAGTCTAATCAGTGCCCGTGGGAGGATAAAACAAAGCCACTGCAGAAATGTAGGCACCTTACAGCCTAGGTCACCGCCAGGGAATTTCAGCATGCAGACGTAGCAAAAGCGATCTCATGCCACAAAAAGTTCACCCGGTCGGCCCCGTTGTGGGAGCTACGACTACCGACATCCGACACCAGCCTCGCCATAAAATTAGCAAAAACTCTGACCCTAGAGAAGCCAGGAGACTAGCAGACTAGCACATCAATACCCTAACTGCAGGCTCCCTAGCAGTTTATACAGACGGCTCGAAAAATCAGAATTGAGAGGCTGGGGCCGGACTAGTCATACCCGACCGGGCCCTCGAGCAACACTTCAGACTCCCAGACCACGCAGCGGTCTGTACAGCCGTGTCAATGGGTATCCTTAAAGCCCTAGAAGCAGCAGCGGACGACCCACCAGCAAAACTATGCATTCTCACCGACTCGATGGCGTCAGTAATGACAGACACTGGAGAGACTTAGGAAATGCAGCAGAGCCGACATCGAAGACAGAATCCCAGCGGTCACAACCGAGCTCTGCCAAATGGGCTGCCTTGTCACAATAAGCCGGATACCAGCCTACAGAAAATACTAGACAACCACTGGGCAGACCAGACGGTTAGTGGAGGGATTCTTAGTCCCAACACTGTCAGCATGGGGTTAGGTAGAGAAGACGGTAAGGCTCGCAAACAATTACACATCGGGGTATCGTTGAAACAACAGTTGGCCAAGCGTAACAACGGACGGCACGCGCATCGCCTACGAACCAGTAATAAGTCCCAAGTTATGGAACCCACAACAGTTTTAACTTTAAACACACTGTGCCACTTGATCACTGGAAAGACAAATCCAGTAGCCCTATGTGTACTGAGTGCTAGAAGCTCAACACAGCATTACCTGCCGACATGCACGAGTACAGAACTGAGAACCCTCTTCTAGTTCTTTTATACCAAGGGGACCAGCACTCGAGAATTCTAGTCTTTTTCCATAATTATATCTTCCCTGCCCCACACACCCCCCCCCCCAAAAAAAAACCACATAGTTCACACACACACACACACACACACACACACGCGCACGCACGCACGCACGCACGCACGCACGCACGCACACACGCACGCACGCACGCACGCACGCACGCACACGTACGCGCACACGCACGCACGCACGCACGCACGCACGCACACACACACACACAAACGGCTGCTCACTCAGACTGTGACGGTCTGGTTGTCCTGAAAAGGAACCGTGTGGGCGAAGCTTCGACGTGTTTGCTGGCTCAAAACCATTTTTTTCAAAGAGCAGAAACCCAGCACCTGGCGCTAAACCACCAGCACAACGACAGCCAAGAACCAGCATTAAACAGCAAACATCCTCAGGAATAGGAGGAAATGAAAACCAGGACTTGGGACTCATAAAAACCCCACTTAGGAAACACAGAAAGAGAATTTCAGGTGTGACTACACACCACAAAGAATCGGAAATCAGATACGATAGCAAAGGAACTTTCTACAATATAACAGGCCATAATGCAGCTGAACGTGGATACAGATTATAATTTTTGTTTATCAGGAATCGACAATCGACAGAAACACTGGTAGACTAATTGTCAAACCGTTCATATATAGAAGCACACACGATTTCTGGGTATGGAGCTCGACCAGCAAATGACTTGGAACAGCTTTCATCAGGGAAAAACTAATATAAGGTAAACTGATATGTGACGCTGCAAAAAAAAAAAAAAAAACCCAGACAGCATCCAAACCTTAGCACTAGCCACAGTCATAGACACAGGGAAATACTCAAGCTTAGACGCTGTGGAAGTGACCTTGAGAAAAGCAACCCTGAGCTTACGAAGACGGCAACTAGCCATAAGCTGCTGCCTACAAGCAGCACCCGACCCAGCTCACCCAGCCAGACAGGCTCTGAACGAAAACTGCTACCCACTGGGAGGGAGACGTTTGCAAACCTTACAAGAACCAAACGCCTGGGAAAGGACGAGGGCAATCAATGGTCATGTGATCGAAAACACAATAACAAGAAAGAACGCTACAATTCTACCATGGTAACTTCAACCCCCGTAGGTAGACACTAACCTGACGTGGGTAGACACTAACCTGACGTGGGCAGACACTAACCTGACGTGGGTAGACACTAACCTGACGTGGGTAGACACTAACCTGACGTGGGTAGACACTAACCTGACGTGGGTAGACACTAACCTGACATGGGTAGACACTAATCTGACGTGGGTAGACACTAACCTGACGTAGGTAGACACTAATCTGACGTGGGTAGACACTAACCTGACGTGGGTAGACACTAACCTGACATGGGTAGACACTAACCTGACATGGGTAGACACTAACCTGACATGGGTAGACACTAACCTGACGTAGGTAGACACTAACCTGACATGGGTAGACACTAACCTGACGTGGGTAGACACTAACCTGACGTGGGTAGACACTAACCTGACCTAGGTAGACACTAACCTGACGTAGGTAGACACTAACCTGACGTGGGTAGACACTAACCTGACGTGGGTAGTCACTAACCTGACGTGGGTAGACACTAACCTGACGTGGGTAGACACTAACCTGACGTAGGTAGACACTAACCTGACATGGGTAGACACTAACCTGACGTAGGTAGACACTAACCTGACGTGGTTAGACACTAACCTGACGTGGGTAGACATTAACCTGACGTAGGTAGACACTAACATGACGTAGGTAGACACTAACCTGACGTGGGTAGACACTAACCTGACATGAGTAGACACTAACCTGACATGAGTAGACACTAACCTGACGTGGGTAGACACTAACCTGACGTAGGTAGACACTAACCTGACGTGGGTAGACACTAACCTAACGTGGGTAGACACTAACCTAACGTGGGTAGACACTAACCTGACATGAGTAGACACTAACCTAACGTGGGTAGGCACTAACCTGACATGAGTAGACACTAACCTGACTTGGGTAGACACTAACCTGACTTGGGTAGACACTAACCTGACATGAGTAGACACTAACCTGACATGAGTAGACACTAACCTGACATGAGTAGACACTAACCTGACGTGGGTAGACACTAACCTGACGTAGGTAGACACTAACCTGACGTGGGTAGACACTAACCTAACGTGGGTAGACACTAACCTAACGTGGGTAGACACTAACCTGACATGAGTAGACACTAACCTAACGTGGGTAGACACTAACCTGACATGAGTAGACACTAACCTGACGTGGGTAGACACTAACCTGACGTAGGTAAACACTAACCTGACGTAGGTAGACACTAACCTGACGTGGGTAGACATTAACCTGACGTAGGTAGACACTAACCTGACGTAGGTAGACACTAACCTGATGTGGGCAGACACTAACCTGACGTGGACAGACACTAACCTGACGTGAGTAGACACTAACCTGACGTGAGTAGACACTAACCTGACGTGGGTAGACACTAACATGACGTAGGTAGACACTAACCTGACGTGGGTAGACACTAACCTGACATGAGTAGACACTAACCTGACATGAGTAGACACTAACCTGACGTCGGTAGACACTAACCTGACGTAGGTAGACACTAACCTGACGTGGGTAGACACTAACCTAACGTGGGTAGACACTAACCTAACGTGGGTAGACACTAACCTGACATGAGTAGACACTAACCTAACGTGGGTAGACACTAACCTGACATGAGTAGACACTAACCTGACGTGGGTAGACACTAACCTGACGTAGGTAGACACTAACCTGACATGAGTAGACACTAACCTGACGTGGGTAGACACTAACCTGACGTGGGTAGACACTAACCTGACGTAGGTAGACACTAACCTGACGTGGGTAGACACTTATCTGACGTGGGTAGACACTAATCTGACGTGGGTGGGGAAGAACAAGGTTGTACCTGGAAAGGACAGTGAGTGATAACGTAGCTTGGCAATGCAGCACTCGGCGATGAACTAGATAAGTATGCTGATGCCCGGCTCTCTAGCGTAGTTGGCTAAACCGGATTGCACGGAGACCGGGTGACGAACTCCTTGTGGTCCGGGTTCAATCCCGGGGGTAGGCAGGAAAGCCACATTTCTCCCAGATTTACGGTATTTTCAATGGAATCAAGGCCGAAAGGTTGCGATATCCATAATAGCGAGCCTAAGGGTTAACAACTCATGACTTCTGGATTCTAAAACAAACATAAGCATGCTGATCGGTGATATAAAGAAACAACAACCACACGAGTTGGTTGGTGAATAAAAAGGTTAAGCTATATCTGGAGTTGGCTGTGGCCAACAACACAAACATACACTGATTTCCTCACAGCTCCTTCCTCTTGTTAATGCTCTCTGATTTACATTCACGGACAGACCGTCGGTGCCCTCCCTCCCCTCCCCCTCTCTCTCTCTCTCCCCCACCCCACCCCTCCCCCCACTTCAAGGTTGAGCTGGGAGTCAGGGAGAAAACTAAATTCTGTTCACTGCAACTGTTTCCGGTGAATGTTTTCGACGATACCGGCCGGCAACTGGCTGATTTCTTTTCCGGTTCGGTTTCAAGATGGTGAGCAAATAGGGGAAATATAATGTTCAACAATCCGTGTCATCTGTGTACTTATTTACATTATTATTGCCTAATTTAATATTAACATAGTTGTTGTTTTCTTTAGTGATATTTTAAAAATTAAACAGCCTAAAAAAGTGGTGAATTTTATAAACGCATAAAATGAAAGGGTAGGTAGCCAGTGAGAAAGGAAACAACTTTAACAAGTATTGCAACTGAACGATTTATGCAAGTTTTAAAACATGGTACCGTTTACAGACTATATATATTCAGTGTTCTTATTCTCTGTCCACCATCCCATAAACACACACATTCTCCGGTCTTGAACCTCACTGTAGGAGCTTTGAAGCCCGTTGTTCAACTTTATTGTTCTGGGAATTATTTATTCAAACATTGACTCCCGGACTCCCTGTTTAGAGTGGAAAGAAACAATTTACAAACTGGTCTGTTTTTGAGAACTACGGGGTGCAAGGACAGTTACTAGAGAACATTATGGCCATGTACGACACAAGCCAAAGTGCAGTAAAAAAACACAACACAAGAAGGCATATCGCCATATCAGATATGTTCACAGTCAGTCAGTCAACACAGGTGTGAGACAGGGATGTGTGCTCTCCCCACTTTTATTTAACATTTATATAGACAGAATATCAAAAGAAGCTAGTTCTGATACAGACAACATAGACCTTTATAATCATCATGAAGTACACACATCAGGAGAAATTAATTATCAATTCACCCACATTAAACAAACTACATTTGCTGATGACCAGTGCTTGTTCTACCCTGAAGAATATAGACTGCAAGACCACATTAACAGGTTAAACTCAGCATGCAGTAAATACAATATGAAGATCGATGTAAACAAAACCGAAACAATGCAAGTTAGTAGAACCCCTGCCCCACTACACATACAACTGAATTGTTCTGCTCTGAATCAAGTTTGGGAGTTTAAATATCTAGGAAGTATGATCACAGAAGACGGTAAAATTGACAAATAGAAATCAGATGTCAGAAAGCAAGTGCACATATATACCAATTGTCACCATTATTCCATTATTAAGACATTCAAGCATAACTATGAGTGCAAAGATACAGATTATTAATAGCAAATGCATTCCAACATTAAGCTACCAGTGTCAAACATGGACACTATCTAAAGCCCATACATGCAAAATCACCACCTGCGAAATGTGCTTGAGAAAAGCAGCCAACCTAACCATACGAGATCGAGAGAATAATGAAACTATCAGGCAAATTGTGGGAACATCTTGTACTAGATTCATCAAGAAACAGCAGATCAAGTGGTTTGGCCATCTCATTAGAATGCAGCAAGATCAAATACCATCACAAGCACTACATCTCAGAAGATCAGGTACAAGAGCAAGAGGACGGCCGCGGAAAACATGGATCGACAACATTAAAGACACTCTACACCTTCCCAGCATGACAATAGCCAGTGGCAGCCAACGTGCACTGGATCGCAAATTATTCCTCACCACGACGCTTAACGGCAGAAGTGGTTTATGATGATGAGGATGATGATCTTAGTCTGGATTGTTCTATCTATCAGAAAATATTTCATCTAGTAATACAATTACATTCTGTCATGTATTCCTATACTCATCATCTTCATCAGGAGGCCTTTCCTCCATGCTCTGTCATAGGCCTGCTGAAGGTCGACAAAGTTTGTCACTGTATGCTTCTTATTCTGGAATGTGTCATAATTTCTTTGTGTCTATATAATAACCAAAGACATTAGTTTAAACATTTTTTGTCTTGTCTACCTATATGCTTTCTAGTTGTCCCTCATGGAGACAGTAGACAAAGTCACAAATGACAATAGTAAATTTGTTCGAACAGTTCTCAGCGAACTTTCCATCCTTGTTTGACACGTTATGTATTTGTGATAAGGAATCGTCTGGAGAACTTGCAACTACTGGCAACAGAAAGCGAGAGGAAGGCAATAAATATCCGGAAAGGATCAGGGCGAGACAAAAACTTTGAAGTGATATATGATTCTAGTGTGAGATGGCAAAACATGACAGCCTACACTTACCTGCATAGCACAAGGTGATGATGAGCCGCATGTTGTTAATTCATGTGACCCCGACTTTTGTGTCTTGCTGCTTTTTTTGTTTTTAAACAATCCTTGTGGTAGACTAGAACAAATAAATACCACAAGAGTTCATGAGGTGACAGCAGAACTAATTCTCTTCAGCCGGAGGTAAATCTAGTGCACTGTCTAATGTATGATTAGTTTTAGCTTAGCTACAGCTGGTTCAAACTTGTCGGAAGGATCTCACGCGGGGATGATCCCTGGATGTAGTGGAGAGGAACAGTGCTTGCTGGCATATCTTCTCAAATTGTGGAAACAGATAGGATCATATAGATGGTTGTAAAGATTTGTAGCTACTGTAGTGTAAGTTTGTAGGATGACAGTATCTCCATGTCTTTTTCTTATTCTTGGCATTCACCAGCTGTCAACTCTGCCATAAAGTTCTGGTTGTTCATCCACTTTTGGACTGCAGTCCTATTCCAGAAGCTGAGTGTTGCATGTGCATCCGTTTTACAGATCTGACTCATTTGTATGCTGGTTCCTTGCCAATTAGTCGACTCTTACAACATGCTTTTTCCCCACATAATAGGGTCCCGGAACCCACACAGAGATATCTCTGTGTGAACCTCTGTAACATTATTAGTCAGGTAGTGTGCATTATTGCTTATCCCATATTTCATTGCTGTCTTCTACTAACTAAACAGTTTGGATGGGCTCATTACACATTTCATTCATTACCTTACATTATAACTGTATGTCATCACTGTTACCTTTCACTTCAGGGTTACCGCGGGCGCAGAAAGTCTCTCAAGCGAGTGACAGCACCAAAGTCATGGATGCTGGACAAGACTGGCGGTGTCTTTGTAAGTTTGTTGCGTGGCGGATAGTTGTTTTAGACATAAAATACAGGCTACCTGGTATGTTTAATTGCAGTTTTGGGTCAGCATCTGGCAGGACTTGACAAATAACATTCAATATTGTCACATAAATACAGAGATGTTTCAGGGAGCCATGCTAACAGCTAAAAACATCACTTAAAACCAAAAAACCTGTTACCTTCCACCCTGCCTGGGCACACTGATGGCAGTGCTATGGCTAAATCTGGACAACATGGCTGCTGGAACCATAACTCCATGTCAGTGTGGTTATAGGTGATGAATGTTAAAATTTTTTTGTATTTAGTATGTAAATGAAATTGATAATACAGTTACTAGTTGCTGATGGTTACAACCACATCATTCATTAATTGAATATGAGGGATGTGTTTTATAAAGCTGTCTGTGTGTCCTTATAACTAACTTGACAAGCTGTCACTGCCAGACAGTGCTGGGGCAGCAGCAAAACTTGGCAAGATTTCACTGCCGGACAGTGCTGGGGCAGGAGCAAAACTTGGCAAGATTTCACTGCAGGACAGTGCTGGGGCAGGAGCAAAACTTGGCAAGATTTCACTGCCGGACAGTGCTGGGGCAGGAGCAAAACTTGGCAAGATTTCACTGCCGGACAGTGCTGGGGCAGGAGCAAAACTTGACAAGCTGTCACTGCCTGACAGTGCTGGGGCAGGAGCAAAACTTCAACAGCTTTTGCTGCCAATGTCTGACAGGACCAAAACTTGGCAAGATTTCACTGCCAGACAATGTCTGCAGCAGGACCAAAACTTCAAAAGCTTTTGCTGCCAATGTCTGTGACAGGGCCAAAACTTGGCAAGATTTCACTGCCAGACAGTGCTGGGGCAGGAGCAAAACTTCAACAGCTTTTGCTGCCAATGTCTGTGACAGGACCAAAACTTGGCAAGATTTCACTGCCAGACAATGTCTGCAGCAGGAGCAAAACTTCAAAAGCTTTTGCTGCCAATGTCTGTGACAGGGCCAAAACTTGGCAAGATTTCACTGCCAGACAATGTCTGCAGCAGGACCAAAACTTGGCAAGATTTCACCGCCAGACAATGTCTGCAGCAGGACCAAAACTTGGTAATGTTTTACTGCCAATGTCTGTGACAGGACCAGAACATGGCCCAGTACTTGACAAGCTTTCACTGCCAATGTCTGTCAGGACCAAAACTTGACCAGCTTTCACTGCCAATGTCTGTCAGGACCAAAACTTGACCAGCTTTCACTGCCAATGTCTGTCAGGACCAAAACTTGACCAGCTTTCACTGCCAATGTCTGACAGGACCAAAACTTGACCAGCTTTCACTGCCAATGTCTGACAGGACCAAAACTTGACCAGCTTTCACTGCCAATGTCTGCTGCAGGATTAAAACTTCACCAGTTTTCACTGCCAGACAATGCCTGCGAAAGGACCAGTCTTTTGTTTTTGTGACATTCAGGACTTTTTCACATTTTTTATGTGATGAAATTGTTTCTTTCTTCGTTGCACTGTCCGTGTATTTTTGATATTTGTTGATTTGTAGGAAACTTGGTGAAGACTGGTTGTATCTGTGCATCTTGTGCTTGTCTTGATGGGGCTGACTAGATATACCTTGTAATGCTCATTCATTACTCAGCCATGACTGAGAGGATTTCATATACTCCCTGTCTTGTGGTCTAGCAACAAACAAAGATAATGTATACATATAAAACTATCATGGAGACAGAAATATGTGGTAATGAGGAAAGATTAGAGGTTGTGGACAATTTTAAATATTTTGGGGAGTCATTGATTACCAACAACGGTAACACAATGAAAGAAATTGAGCAACTATCAATTGCTCTTCACAGATTAAAACAACTGAATAAATTATGGAGTGAGACAGACAGAACTACAATTAGATTTTTAAGAGCATGCATTTTCCCCATTGCAACATACGTCTGTGAGACCTGGACACCTAATAAACAAGCTGAACAGTGAATGAATACAAATGTTATAGACGGGTTCTAAGAATAACATGAGTAAAGAATAGAACAAATGCATCCATACTTCAAGAACTGAATATTGAAGAAGGCTGGCTTTTAAAGACGACAAAACACAGAAAATTGAAATATTTTGGTCACTTGAAATGTCACGAAAGTTTGGAGGGAGCAATAATGGTGGTTTCATATACCTGAAAAGAGAAGAAAAGAAAGGCTAAAGAGAAGATAGCTGCAGGATGAGGCGGATGATCTCCAGATGGGTGTATCGGACGCGTGACATCTTTCTTGTGATCCAGAAGTTTTCTGAAGGGTTGTTATGGTTGCAAGGTTGTGGACATGCTGCAGACTGACTGACTGACTTTTGGTATTGGTGACATGTTTGTCCACAAGCTTTTCCCTTGTTTACTGCTGTCCGGTGCCGGGTACTAGTTCTCTCTTTTAAGTATTTTCATTAACATGAACAGTGTTCCATAAAGCACCTACATCTTTCGCCACAATTCTCACTAATCTACTGGCTGTCCATGATTCACTTCTATGTAACATGTCTTCATTTCCTACTCTCAAGGGATTTCTGTTGCATAGAATATTCTTTATCAAGTTAAATACCACTATTTTCTTACCACAGATGATTTCTACAAACTTTCCTTCAATTTGCTGCTGTCAAGTTGCTGTGTGATCTGTGCTCCAGCCAGTCACCTTTGAGTTGAGTGTCAGTTCCTGCTGCTGGTGAAGTCATCTATGACTGTTTCCATCCACAGGCCCCTAAGTGCAGTCCTGGACCCCACAAGTCCCGTGAGAGTTTCCCCATGACTTTGTTTCTCAGGAACCGTCTCAAGTATGCCCTCTCCTACCAGGAGGTGAAGAAGATTGTCAAACAGAGGCTGATCAAAGTGGATGGCAAGGTGCGCACTGACCACACCTACCCCACTGGATTCATGGGTAAGTTGTTGGCTGAAATACTTTAGGAAGAGGTCAGTTGATTTGATATATCACTCAAAGTAAGGATTGGGTCGGTTTGTTTGTCCATGTTTCTTATTTGATATTTGGTGTCTGAGACAGAGTTAAGGTGAGGAAGTTATGGCTGATGTTGTATTATAGCTGTACGGGTCTACTCTTTACAGAGTGAAAGAGGGTGATAAGTAATGTCACGCACACTCCAGCCATTGTGAACAGTGTCATCGCAAGACATCAGCAAAATCGCACATGTCATTAATGTCTATTTCTAAATCACTAACATGTGACAGTATTTGGTGATTTCATTAGACAAGGTTTTGGCTCCAACATTATTATGTAAAGTAGACCATCTGGCTGGCACGGGGTGCTAGGGTCTGGCACGGGATGCTACCTTCTGGCGGGCACGGGGTGCTAGGGTTTGGCAGGCACGGGGTGCTACAGACTGGCAGGCATAGAGCCTGGGTTGTTAGTTAACCTGCCAGCATTCTTTCAGTGAAGGTTTGTAGAAAGTGCTTCTGTCTGCTTGAACATAAGACCATTGAATTTTATATTGACTACATGGCTTTTGTCAGCAAACAGTGTGTACATGTGAATGGGCAGACACCATGTTCATGCTGATGTGCAAATATTTGACAAGGGCTGTGTGCAGGTCCAGAATGGTGTCAGACAGACAGCTGTGAAAGCAGGCAGAGCAGCAGCGGAGAGGAACATTCATGGACGATAGGACTGATCGGTAATAGAGGAATAAAGCAGCTAGTGGTGATAAAAGAGATGGCTACAGCAGAAGGGCAGTGTGATGTGGCCCAGGTCAGTGACTGGCTGACAGCAAGGACCTGCCATTTTGTGTGCCTCCTGTTCGAGCTAGAAACCAATCTGTGTTGTACATTCTGATGTGTGATGTTCTGATGCATTGTTATCTTGACAGATGTGGTGTCCATTGATAGGACCAATGATCTGTGTTGTACATTCTGATGTGTGATGTTCTGATGCATTGTTGTTATCTTGACAGATGTGGTGTCCATTGATAGGACCAATGAGAACTTTCGTATCCTGTACGATGTGAAAGGCAGATTTGTGGTGCACAGAATCAAGCCAGAGGAGGCTAAGGTTGGTCAACCTGCTGGGTACCTCTCCATTGTCCACTCACTTGTCCCTGTCAGTCAACCTTCTGGGTACCTCTCCATTGTCCACTCACTTGTCCCTGTCAGTCAGCCTTCTGGGTACCTCTCCACTGTTCACCCACTTGTCCCTGTCGGTCAGCCTGCTGGGTACCTCTCCATTGTCCACTTACTTGTCCCTGTCGGTCAACCTGCTGGGTACCTCTCACTTGTCCCTGTCGGTCAACCTGCTGGGTACCTCTCACTTGTCCACTCACTTGTCCCTGTCAGTCAACCTGCTGGGTACCTCTCCATTGTCCACTCACTTGTCCCTGTCTTTCAGCATTTAGGCTTGGGTGGTGGTTGGAGGGGGGCACACCTCTTTACTCATCAGTGTATTGTTGTGTCCGCATATCTGTCAGACTGTTTACCTATGAGTATATTTTGTGTCACTAGTGTGTGCACCTTTGATGTGGTGATTGTGTATATTTTTTGTCACTAGTGTGTGCACCTATGATGTGGAAATTTTGCATGTCTGAAGGTATGCATTTGTTATCCAGGTTTTTTTTTTTTTTACATTTATAATTTAAATTCTGTGGTTTGTCATGTGATGACACTTGTACGTTCATGTTTAGACTCTTGATTGCTTGATACAAGTCCATTGAGCCCTAAGGATCTTCACTTCAACATACTGTGTGGAGACTGAGCCATTGATTTGTGGGGTTGAACCTGCAACAGAACTGTTGTCAAGGACACAGTTAATGTGTGGGGTAACTTGACAGTCTGTACAATTGTGGAAATACATGCTAGCAGATGTGGGCAGTAGAAGCTGTCAGAAACTCAATAAGTGAACATATTCCCTTCAGCCACATAAAATTGAGTTTGTTCCAGCAGATCTAGATTGAGTCACTTTAGTCATACGGATCAAACCCAGTTCTGTTGTCAGTGCTGTAGATTTGAACTTTGAGCACACAGCTTGTAGTAGCACATGTTCTGCCATTGGGCGTTCCTCCATTGTTAGCTAGTCTGTTCTGAGTGCCTTCCATATTGGTTGTATCTTAGTTTACTGCATTGGTTCAGGTTGTATGAGTTACTAGATTCCTTACAGCAGACTGGACACATCCATAGGCGCTCAGATTCCCCTCTCAACATATTTATCAGCTCGTACAGTTAATAGTACCAGTCCTATATTGGTTAACAGGACTTTTTATGCGTCTGGTGTGCTTCTCATGCTTGGCTGTGCCGAGCTTTGCTCCAGGTTCTCATATTCTTAGAAGTTATGTGGACACGTTGCTTCCAAAATCCTCAGAATGTCCTCTCTCTAAGGGCAATTACAATGTCTGCGTGATCCATGTTACCAATTTTAATTTTATATGGTGTCATATGCTTACCCTGTTGTAGCGTATGATAACACAGCGTGCAATCACTTTTAGGATGGTCGGTGAACTCTGGCCCTGTCTTACATGCCACTTTTGTGGCCTCAGTCACAATTGCTGTTTCATTACCAATTTGTCTGATGTATTTCAGCTCTGGGCATTGTGCACGGCAGTGCCCTTTCAACTGACAAAGGTAGCAGGTTTTCGCCCGCTGTTTTGTGGCTTCCTTTGTTGAAACCATGCTATTTTGAGTATATGCTTCCCTGGGAATAATAGATTTTTATCACAAAGTTTGTTTTTTGTGTGATCCATATTACACTATGCACAAATCGAATCATTCCTATTTGTTGCAGGAATGTTAACTTTTGTCTTCTCATTCCGTCTTCTTTTGATCAATATTTTCACATAGACGTTTTTAATATAATAGACTTTCATCACATATCTGTAATGGTTCAAGGTCGGTCTTGCAGTATGGACAAGTTACCATATTTGCACTGTCTCTTTTATGTATGTACTAGCTGTACCCGGCCACGCGTTGCTGTGGCGTAATTTGAGATAGTCTTTGACCCCCCCCCCCCCCCCCCCACAACTAAATCCACCTACTACCCTCTCCCTCATCAAAGGTTTCTAGAAAAGAAAGACAATGGAAATCGCACCTGTCTAATGAAGTTAATGACGCAGTCAATGTCTGCGCCGACGTCGAGATAGTCCTTGATTGTCCCCCCCCCCCCCCATCGAAGGTTGTTTGGAAAAAAAAACAGAAAATAGAAATCGTGTTTAATATATATGGATATATATAGAGAGATAGTCTTGTTTGCGGTACCTCGACCTACTCTATGTATTAAGCGTTTGGCTGCACGTAACTCGCCGGCGAATGGCAGAAACCTTGCGTTCTGACTACGGCGGCGCATGCGCAATTACTAACGTGGCTATAATTAGAAATCACTAAAGTTATAAATATTAGTTGCGAATATTATGGCATAAATTGTGGTCACCTATCTCTAACAGTGACAGGTTGGATTTCAAACCACGATGGTTCAAAATCCGGTATCAAAACAAGCATATCCTGAAAATTTCAGCTAAATCGGTTCAGTAGTTTCCGAGTCTATAGGGGCAAACACACAAACACATGATATTTTTATATATATAAAGTCTGGTTTTCCAACTTTAGAACATGCACCATATAATTGTGTCTTTATATTAGTGGTCCTTTAAATGGTGCTATTAGCACGGTAACAAAAGTGGTTATTTGGTTATCACATGCTAAAGCTGTTTGTATTTTTATAGGAGACGGAAGTAAAGCTACAACTGTACTTGTGAATAACAAAGTAAGTCGTAAAAAATAGAAAAGCGGAGGTAGCGTTAGTAAAATATAAACAAATTAGGTAATGAGAACTTGAAAATCAAGTGTAAAGCTCTTTAATTTCTCTTAAATTTATGTCATTACCCCCTCCCCTCTTCCACCGACTACTGCTCTCTCCCTCTTCGAAGGATTTGAAAATCACTAACTGGCGATATTTTGTTGTTGCTGTAACTGACATTGACATCCCTGTCCATCTGGACTAAAATAGGGAGCAGGAATTGTAAAAGGTAGTGAATAGGGCTAGTGTTATTTACCACATCATCCTTCAAATACCAGTACAACTACTAAAATAATGTCACTGCTATCTGTGTTACCATCGGAGTAGACAGACGTCGTGAGCCAGAAGATTTGGTTCCGCATGGCTAGTGCTGTCGCCACAGACTGGTCAGGTTAGGATGTATAATTTCACTTGCCGACAGAAGAATGCCATAACCTTACCGGCGGTCTTCATGTGACTTAAAGCTCTCTCAGTAAATAGTTTGCCCCAACCCCCCCTCCCCCCAAATTCACCGACAACTCTTTCCCTCATTGAAGTAGTTGGGAGAAAAAAAAACACTTGAAAAGCAAACGAACACAGGAAAAAAAACACCATAATTAGGAAATGAACGCCATTGTAAACAGCACAGCTTAAAATTCCAACACAGTTGAAATAACTAAATCTAAATGAAAATCTATAAAATTTCAGCGTAACCATGCAATCGGAAAGTTTAACAATGCAATCATAAGTATGCGAAATGGTCAAATTTAATTATCAAATGGTTTACCCATTTACTTGATTTTTTTTTTTTTTTAATATTAAGGCAACATGGCTAGTGCTGTCACCACGACAGAGCAGATGAGGATATTATTTTAGTCCGTGGTAAAAAAAAAATTTAACGACTGCGGATTCGAACCCAGGTCTACCGCACATGAACACAGTGTTCTAACCATTCGACCAAGCAGCCACTTAATCGGAACAACGAAAAGAGAACTCAACTATTAGACATGTGAGTCCCTACTACTGTGTCGCGATGAAAACACAATTCAAAACCACAGGCAATTGTTTTCTCGTAGACAGATACTCCAGATATATAGAAATCGCACGTGTCTAACACGGTTAATGAAGTTAATGTCGCAGTCACTGTCTGCGCCGACGTCGAGATAGTCCTTGTTGCCTCCCCCCCCTTTTCATCGAAGGTTGTTTGAAAAAAAAACAGAAAATAGAAATCGTGTTTAATATGGTTTTGTGGCAAATATAGAGATAGTCTTGTTTGCTGTACCACGACCTACTCTATGTATTAGTATTAGAGAAGGCGTTGGCTGCACGTAACTCGTCGGCGAATGGTAAATACGGCGCATGCGATATTACTAACGTGGCTATAATTAGAAATCACTAAAGTTATAAATATTAGTTGCGTATATTTTGGCATAAATTGTGGTCACCTATCTCTAACAGTGACAGGTTGAATTTCAAACCACGACAGTTCAAAATCCGGTATCACAAACATATCCTGAAAATTTCAGCTAAATCGGTTCAGTAGTTTCTGAGTCTATAGAGACCAAACAAACACACAAACATTGATTTTTATATAGATTTTCTATTTTTACATTGATCTGCTCGGTGACTAACAGATCTGCATATACAGCACTCAGGAGGATATTTAATCGGTCTATTTTTTTCATGTTTTTTAGGCTCTCTCCGAATATAACTTGGATCACTGCCGTCTCCCGTCTTACGGACAGTCTGTTAAAACTTCATTTTTTTTCTTTCTGCAATCTGCAGTCTGTTTCTGTTGATCTAGATTCTTACAGCGAGACATTTTGTGACCAAACAGTTCACAATAATTAGCACCACTTGGCACCGCTTATCTTACAAGTATGTTATCCTAGCACTTAAGACCTATGGATAACTAACTTCTAGCCCAGCCAACCTCGCACATAAATATCAATGATGAAAAAGGATAGACTAGAACATACACAATTGTGGAACAGTGAGAGGAGCAGTAGTGATAGATAGGACAACATTGACAGCATTAACATGTTCATATGTCTGCTAATTGTTGCCTGACATTTAGTGACCAATGTTATCTTCTCCAGTACAAACTGTGCCGTGTGCGACGAAATGGCACGGGTCAGAAGAATGTGCCCTATCTGACCACTCATGATGGCAGGACCATCAGATACCCTGACCCCCTGGTCAAGGTCAACGACACTATCATGGTGGACATTGCTTCTGGCAAGATGAAGGAATTCATCAAGTTTGACACAGGTAATCAAGCTGTCCGTTGATTGTTCACTACAGGGACACAGGTAATCAAGCTGTCCGTTGATTGTTTACTACAGGGACACAGGTAATTAAGCTGTCCGTTGATTGTTTACTACAGGGACACAGGTAATTAAGCTGTCCGTTGATTGTTTACTACAGGGACACAGGTAATCAAGCTGTCCGTTGATTGTTTACTACAGGGACACTGGTAATTAAGCTGTCCGTTGATTGTTTACTACAGGGACACTGGTAATTAAGCTGTCCGTTGATTGTTTACTACAGGGACACAGGTAATTAAGCTGTCCGTTGATTGTTTACTACAGGGACACAGGTAATCAAGCTGTCCGTTGATTGTTTACTACAGGGACACTGGTAATTAAGCTGTCCGTTGATTGTTTACTACAGGGACACTGGTAATTAAGCTGTCCGTTGATTGTTTACTACAGGGACACTGGTAATTAAGCTGTCCGTTGATTGTTTACTACAGGGACACTGGTAATTAAGCTGTCCGTTGATTGTTTACTACAGGGACACTGGTACCCTGCCCGTCCTGACTGTCCTTTAGGTGTTGGAGCAAGAAAATGTGCACAGATATTCTAGCCGGAACTGATTATTGTGGAGGGTCTCAGATAAAATGTTTGCTGCCTACAGTATATTTGATTTAGGACTTCCCCGTGTGGGTTCCGGGGCCCTATTATATGGAGAAAAATAGACCCGCTGCCAACCCAAAAGAGTTGACTAATTGGGAGCTTCCTTTGAAGGTGGAGTGCATTTGTCTGAGAGGCAGGGAACTAAGTCTGCATACAATTGAATCAGATCAGTAAAATGGATGCGCATGCAACCCAGGTTCTGGACATGAAGTGGACGAGCAACCAGAACTTTCTGCCAGAGTTTACAGCTGGTGAACGGGCAAAAGAATAAGAAGATTTAGGACTGCATCAGTAGATACGCAAGCCCAGAGGTCCCTGGATGTTTGTGCTCTGTGTGCAGACACTCGGTGGATGAGCAGCTGCTCTGTGTGCAGACACTCGGTGGATGAGCAGCTGCTCTGTGTGCAGACACTCGGTGGATGAGCAGCTGCTCTGTGTGCAGAGACTCGGTGGATGAGCAGCTGCTCTGTAGGGTCAAGAAGATGGGCAGATGGGGCAGAACCTGCTTTAATGAAACCGATCATGCTTGTACATCTTTTTTATGAATATTATAGTCATATGACTGCAGCCACATGCAAGATTCTGTCACCTCCATTGCCATACTGATAGTCGTAGAGAAGGCAATACTGAATTGACATGCAGATATTTCTGCCTGAAGAGCGAGCTGTGAATGTCCATGCACTCTTTGTACTGGTGTCCTTTCACGACTGGCACGTCTGCTAGGATCACAAGCATCTGCATTGTCACTGATTAGTGTGTGTTGTAGGATCTGTGGAGTATGTATGCTTATAGGACCTGTTATTGTCTGTAAGCTTGTAGGACTTGTGTGTTCTGTGTTTGCCCACACATGATCCATGTGCATTATTCTGTCCTTAGGTAACCTGGTGATGATCACAGGTGGCCACAACTTAGGGCGTGTCGGAACAATCATCAACAGAGAGAGGCATCCAGGATCCTTTGATATTGTCCATGTCAAGGATGCCCTTGGACATACTTTTGCCACCAGGTAAGCCTGCACTCCCACCCCACATTTTGCGTGTCACATGCTACTGTCCCAACGCACATGCTACTGTCCCAACCCTCATCCTTTCCCTGTCACATGCTACGGTCCCACCCACATCCTACATGTCACATGCTACTGTCCCAACCCACATCCCTGCATGTCCCACCCCACAAGCCTGCACTCCCACCCACATCTTGTGTGTCACTTGCTACTGTCCCAACCCACATGCTACTGTCTCAACGCACATGCTACTGTCCCAACCCACATCCTACATGTCACATGCTACTGTCCCAACCCACATCCTACATGTCACATGCTACTGTCCCAACCCACATCCTACATGTCACATGCTACTGTCCCACCCACATCCTACATGTCACATGCTACTGTCCCAACCCACATCCTACATGTCACATGCTACTGTCCCAACCCACATCCTACATCTACAGTCACATGCTACTGTCCCAACTCAAACACAGAATAGAACCACTATCCCAACCCTACCACAAAACACTGTCCCAGTCGACTAATCCTACATTCCACAAGTCTACACATCTGCCTGAGTCCCAACCCAACCTACATGTCACATGCAACTGTCCCAACCCACATCCTACATGTCACATGTACTGTCCCAACACATCCAAGTGCTACTGAACCCAAACCCACATCCTAAGTGGACAACTACTGTCCCAACCCACATCCTACATGTCACATGCTACTGTCCCAACCCACATCCTACATGTCACATGCTACTGTCCCAACCCACATCCTACATGTCACATGCTACTGTCCCAACCCACATCCTACATGTCACATGCTACTTTCCCACCCACATCCTACATGTCACATGCTACTGTCCCAACCCACATCCTACATGTCACATGCTACTGTCCCAACCCACATTGTACATGTCACATGCTACTGTCCCACCCACATCCTACATGTCACATGCTACTGTCCCACCCAACAAGCCTGTATTTGTCACCAGTCTTTTGAGTCTCAGAGACTACAGTTATTGCTGTATAGCAAACACAATTAATGACAAAACCAAAAAATAGATATAAAAAAAAGCCGTTGTCCCAACCCACTGATCTACCCCTCCAACATGACTATGCTACTGGAAGAAAACTTGTTTATATAAGTTTCTGCAGTGATAAACTTCTGAGTATCTGAAAAACAACCAACTATGTCGGTCTAGGGTGCCTACGCTAATATGTTGCTGGATCTCTCATTGATGGATGTGCTGTAACTGCTTGCAGTCCTGCATAATACAACTGGCACACTGGGCACAGCACCAGCAAATGCAGTTTTAACTAGCTCGAAGAGTCAGCAGTAAGGACATGTCTTCTTCTTCTTCTTCGCGTTCACCAGCTGTACACTCTGGCGTAAAGTTCTGGTTGTTCATCCACTTCTGGACTGCAGTCCTGCTCCAGAACCTGAGTGTTGCGTGTGCATCAGTTTTACAGATCTGATTCAATTGAATGCAGACTGCTGGTTCCTTGCCTCTTAGGCAGATGCACTCCGACTTCAAAGGAAGCTCCACAGTTAGTCGACTCTTACGACATGCTTTTGGGGAGGCAGTGGGTCTATTCTTGTTTTCCCTACAATAGGGCCCCGGAACCCACACGGGGGAGTAAGGGCATGTGACAGGCAGCATCAACTTTAATGTCATTCACATAAGTACACGACACAAGCAGTCTTCTGCAAACCTGTGTAAACAACAGTCCGACCAGGACGGTTCCAAAATCTTAACGAACTCCCAACTGACTACCTCTGAATAATATCCCCAAAATTCAATTATTATAATTACATCCATCCGTTCTAACAGGGTAATGACTTCTCAGGTACACAAACATTTATTCTCATTGTTGATACCCTCAGAAATAGCAATTCCTATATCTTACTTAATCTAACTAGCTCCGAACTAGTTGACCAGAGACTAATGTCCCTGATAACACCCACACACTCTCCTCTCAGATAAATCTACCTGTACTCATGAAATGATTACAACCTGTCACCCCCATCACTGGTTCTTAGCTAGGAACCAATTTCATCTCCTCTTTTCTCATTCATTTGTAATTTTTCTACATTTGCTGTGCTGCCCCGTAAAAGTCTTTTTTTTTTAATAAATGTGTCCAGCACACATACAATTGTGTTATGGTTGGTGGGTTTTTCTTTCATGTGTTGTTGTATATATTTGTTAGCAAGTCTTTTCTTCCTACCCTGCGCTCTCTCTTTACCTGTATTTGTCACTGCCTTTCTCTATGCTCCTCTCTACCACCAAGTCTACAACAAATATAAAAACACTCTATCTGTACTAGTATACCCACATATGTGTGCATGAATAAAGTAGTTTGTATATTCAGTACAGCCTTAACTATTCAGAAATACCTTATTTCAGTATTACTCTGAGACAACTTAGAAAAAAAACTAAGGGTACCTTGAAAAGCCTTGAAATGTATTGGTAAATTTGGCTATGAACCCTGTTATTTTTTCCACAGACTGTCCTACGTCTTTGTCATCGGCAAGGGCAACAAGCCATGGATCTCTCTGCCTCGGGGCAAGGGTGTCAAGCTGACTATCGCTGAAGAGAGGGACAGGAGGCTGGCCGCCAAGACTCAATAAATTAAAATACTTGACTGAACCATGTACAACCGACAGACATACGGACATTGCCAGCTGAGAATAAACTGTTTTACTGACATGACCTATTGCGTATTTGTTTCACTGTTTTGTGCTGTCTGGTTCGCTGACAGTATTTGACATGCTTTCTTCAATCACATGAACACAATCTGGTCTCTGAGAGTGACTCACATTTCAGAAACATAATAGACAAGCTTCTCTCAACTGGAGGCTAACTAACATTGTTAGCTACCGGCCAGCAAACATATTGACTCCTACAAGGACTAACAGTCAAGGTTCATTGATCATGTCAGTTATCGTTTCATGAGACAAGTTTCTGGGTTGTCCCTTCAGGGCTTTTACATTTTGGTAAATCTCTATATCATTGGGTACATTGCACAGTGTATTTGGGAAAAGTATTTTGCATGAGGTACCAAGACATAAGAGTTGTCAACATTTGGAACCTCTCCATTAGATCTGTGACCAGACATAAGTGTGGTCCATCTGTGTGAGCTTCTCTCCTAGACCTGCTACAAGACAGGTGTGGTCCATCTGTGTGAGCTTCTCTCCTAGACCTGCTACAAGACAGGTGTGGTCTGTCTGTGTGAGCTTCTCTCCTGGACATGCTACAAGACAGGTGTGGTCTGTCTGTGAGCTTCTCTCCTAGACATGCTACAAGACAGGTGTGGTCCATCTGTGTGAGCTTCTTTCCTAGACATGCTACAAGACAGGTGTGGTCCATCTGTGTGAGCTTCTTTCCTAGACATGCTACAAGACAGGTGTGGTCCATCTGTGTGAGTCATATCGCAGAGGGCACAAGAGCTTCTCTCCTAGACCTGCTACAAGACAGGTGTGGTCCATCTGTGTGAGCTTCTCTCCTAGACCTGCTACAAGACAGGTGTGGTCCATCTGTGTGAGCTTCTCTCCTAGACATGCTACAAGACAGGTGTGGTCCATCTGTGTGAGCTTCTTTCCTAGACCTGCTACAAGACAGGTGTGGTCCATCTGTGTGAGCTTCTTTCCTAGACCTGCTACAAGACAGGTGTGGTCCGTCTGTGTGAGCTTCTCTCCTGGACATGCTACAAGACAGGTGTGGTCCGTCTGTGTGAGCATCTTTCCTAGACCCGCTACAAGACAGGTGTGGTCCATCTGTGTGAGCTTCTTTCCTAGACATGCTACAAGACAGGTGTGGTCTGTCTGTGAGCTTCTCTCCTAGACATGCTACAAGACAGGTGTGGTCCGTCTGTGTGAGCTTCTTTCCTAGACATGCTACAAGACAGGTGTGGTCTGTCTGTGTGAGCTTCTCTCCTAGACCTGCTACAAGACAGGTGTGGTCTGTCTGTGTGAGCTTCTCTCCTAGACATGCTACAAGACAGGTGAGGTCCATCTGTGTGAGCTTCTCTCCTAGACCTGCTACAAGACAGGTGTGGTCTGTCTGTGTGAGCTTCTCTCCTAGACATGCTACAAGACAGGTGTGGTCCATCTGTGTGAGCTTCTTTCCTAGACCTGCTACAAGACAGGTGTGGTCCGTCTGTGTGAGCTTCTCTCCTAGACCTGCTACAAGACAGGTGTGGTCCGTCTGTGTGAGCTTCTCTCCTAGACCTGCTACAAGACAGGTGTGGTCCATCTGTGTGAGCTTCTCTCCTAGACCTGCTACAAGACAGGTGTGGTCTATCTGTGTGAGCTTCTCTCCTAGACATGCTACCAGACAAGAGTGGTCTGTCGGAGCTTTTCTCCTTGATTTGTTACAAGAGTTTTCCGTCTGTTGAAGCTTTTCTTCTGCAGTGATTGATTTAGTTTGTCACTTAATCTTTTATTATAAGTTGCATTGATAACAATTGTCTTATTGTGCCTCTTTGGGAAGCAAAGTCAACATCTCACACACAATTGTAATAATGAAGAAATTAGCACTGCAGTCTCTAGCATGGTGCTGCTTCTAGACGTTGACACTACTTTAAGAAGATACGCTGTAAAAAAGAAAGAAATGTACTTTCACCGCTTAAGCACTAATTAGAAAATCGTCCTTGACTCTAACATTCACAAGCATGTCCTATGTGGCAAAGGCATTGGTTAGTCTGATATGCTTTCTTACAATCTGTCCATGTCCATAGCTTCTTTTATAGTTTCAGTTACTTGTCCTTTTACTACTTTACAATTGTCTGTCTTGTCAACCAGTCTGTCGGCCAAAACCATAATATTGGTCTCAACAGGGCTTCGCAGCACTCATTGATTCAAGTAAAGTGTTTCTGTTTACTTTTATCTGCCATTTCAGTTTCTATGTACAGCTTGTGTTTTCAATCTTATTTCAGTTGGGATTCTGTGGTTGATTTCAGTCAGGAAAATCTTTTACATAATTGTACATTTTATTTTCAGTCAGTTGACATAGGTAACAATTAGGGTGAATACGAACAATGAGTTCAACTATTCGGCCGAATATGAATGGTGTATCATCATCATCAGGCGCCTTGTCGACTGGCGTGGGCGATCATGCCTCTCCATAATCTGCGATCTCCTGCAGCATGTATTAGTTCGTGTGCTGACACACCTCCATGCCATGCAACAAGACTATCAAGAATCTTCTCGCGTTGTCTTCCTCTATCCCTCCTTTCACAGATCTTTCCAATGGTCACCACATGCTCCATTTTCCATCTTCTCATAACATGGCCGAAAAATGATGTCTCCTGATGTCTGTGGTAAGTTTGTGTTTAGGCTCCCGCCTCTTTCAAAACCTTATTTCCACACTCTTTCAGCCCTGTCCGCACTGTCACTATACTAACTTGTCTAGCATCAACATGTGTGACACAGTGCTTTAGGTCAAGTTCATCCGCCATACTTCACCTTCTTCAGTCGCACAAGCGGCTCATATTGTCACTTGAGATGAGTCGGCTATAAAGTTAGTTTTATTCCGCTAGTAAGTAAAGCGCCCTTTTCCTCGCCTTGAGGCACATAGGACTAGACCTCATGTTTTATAGACCAATCGGCACAAGATTAATGATGTGGTCTGCATCCCGCCGGCAGCCTTTACTTCCCGGGATTGTACCCACTCAAGGTTGGGTCGACCTAGGAACCCACGACCTTCCGATCTGCGGCGAGAGTCTAGCCACGGAGACTCCCTAAACTCCGTTAGTGCACTTCTCATTTAATTTTCGTTTTCTGTCGCCGCTAGTCACGTGACATTGTGATTTCTCATTATTCATACAGTAAACTTTAAATTTAATAACATCCCCCAGTGGGTTCCGGGGCCCTATCATAGGGAAAACATGTCGTAAGAGTCGACTAACTGGGAGCTCCCTTCGGAGTCTGAGTGCCTGATAGACAAGGAACCTACAGCCTGCATTTAAGTGAGTCAGGTCTGTAAAACGGATGCACACGCTTAACTCAGATTGTGGAACAGGACTGCAGTCCAAAAGTGATGAACAACAAGAACTTTCCGGCAGAGTTTACAGCTGGTGAACGCGAAGAAGAAGATTTTATAGCAAGTGAAAGCAGAAAGCGAAAAAGAAAACAGGTTGCATCAAGTGCCATTTGTACTTTTTTTGTAAATGCTCATTGCCATAAAGCAAACTTGTCACAGGGAAGCAGTATTTCCTCGGATGGAAATGTAGTGGTTGAAGTAAAGCAAAGGACTGAACAGCCAACAGAGTTTTATGTAAGACCTTCCCGTTACGGCCCCTCGCATTTGGCGTTGATATTTATTCTGCTGTCTCACGTGTCTGGTCAGTCTATTTACAAGTCGTCGACCCGGCTGCTTCGAGATACATTCGAGTCCACTTTAGTCGAATTCTGATAAGACGAATTTAGCTTAGGTCGACTTGACCAGCTTAGACCAGTCCTCATCTCTTCTTTATCTTTGTATTTAAAATTCTGTTAAATCGAATTCGGTTAACTCGAATATTCGGATAAGTCGAATCTAAAAATAAATCCCGACTCTATATACATGTCCTTGTTTGGTTACCATATTTGTTAGTTACCACAATGACGTCACAGGACCAGTCAAATAATTTCCAGGTTGGTGAGAAAGCGCTTTTCCAGCAGTGCGTTTCTATCTTCCGTCTGGAAGAGCGCGTTGCCACGGCTATAGCAGGCGTTGCCAAGGGGCGCGCTTTTCGCCTCTTTCTTGTCTTGTTCATCTTGTTGGGGACTGGGGCGTGCCGCCAGATAACAACACTGTTGAAATTGATAAAAGTCTGTTTGCAAGACGAAACAATTCACGTGGAAAGTGAGTTTCCAAAACAGTCGATATTCTGTCTGGAGACAGGCGAAAGCTTTTTGTTCTACGTCCCAGACAGAAAAGCAGAGACGCTTCTGTACCCCAACTGGCAACTGCACATTGAGTTCACATAGCTAAAGTTGACATAAAAAAAAAAAATACCCCCAAAAAATAATGTAGGGACTAAACACGGCACCTTTTCAATTTTAAAGCGCATGTGATACCAACTACATCATACATTCACATGACAAAGTGCTTTGATTACATGACCAGTATTGTACACCAGCCAATAGCGCATCAACAGATAGAACAAAGCAGTCGATTGCTCACCAACAGACAGAAATTTGTCACACACCGCTTTCACCCCTTGAAATAGTCGACTGTCCAGTCAGTTGTGGATTCCCCCTAATTGGGGTAACTAAATAATAACGCTGGAAAAGCCCCATCTTACCAACCTGGAAATTATTTGTTTTGACAATGTAGTACCAGGAAACATGTTTTCGGATCAAATCTCAACATTTGATCTGAGAGGAGCCGGCTGGCATTACTTCACAGCTGGATTGTTGGTGTCGGGATGTTAACACCCAGATACTTACCTGGCTGGTGTTACCTATCGGTTACCCGTGCAGGTATTGCGCCCAGGCTTGAACAAGTTCGTTGATGCTGACTGCCTTCAACCGTCTCCAGTAGAAATGTTCATCTCCGGCCCAGCGTCGACGAGCGTTGATCCTGGAGTTGAGTGATATCAAGCGTTTGATGGAATCAGGCAAGTCAACCAACGAAACCAGCTGGA